CCTGGCATCGCTACTAGGAGCAAACACGCTACTAGGGGCTCCTGGCACCGCTACTAGGAGCAAACACGCGACTAGGGGCTCCTGGCATCGCTATAGGGGCAAACACGCTACTACAGGCGCCTGGCATCGCTACTGGGAGAATTGACGCTACTAGGGCCTCCTGGCATCGCTACCAGGAGCAAACACGCTACTGGGGGCTCCTGGCACACCATCGCGAGCGGTCCACGAGTCGCAACTACGCCGGCTTTGGAGCATAGCGGGTGAAAAGGACAAAAGAATGCAGAACCTAATTAAGCACCACCGGCAGCGGCAAGTCCCAGGAGGACAACGACCGAGCAGCACCGGAGTCGAACAAGTGCACCCATTGCAACCTCTCCTTGTCGGTCATATAGACATCAACACCAGCGACAATACCCTTCAGCAATGCACGTCCAGCGTATTTAGTCTCTGTAGCAACAAGATCACCAGGAAAGATGTGGCCATGCTCAATACTGGTGGCCTGCTTCAACATAGAGCGAACGGTCAGAATCAAATGGTGGTGGAAGCTAACACCCGCTTCGAGTTGTGAGTGACAATGGCCTCTCCACCAAAAAAGACATGCAAGCTCTGGAGAAACCTCCGACACTCACGCCAATCTTCATCGGTACCCGTCCATCGGGCAGGGGGACCCTGTGTGTCAAAGCTCTTCGGTTTCCATGGAAAGGCACCGCATGGAGCAGCCCAAGCCCACTGAGGGAAGCGGGAAACAACCGAGGCAGTAGGTTCTGCTGTAGCCTTAGGACCTCTGGCCGTGGTCGGCGGGGGCTGTGTGGTCTCAAGAAGCCAGTTCAACATAACAAACCACTCGTGCCTGTGCAATACGGCAGCCTCTAACATCTTCTGATCCCGAGGATGAATAGGTGAAAATACTGTTGCTAAGCGGTGCGCTTCACGGTCTGCAGCCCGATTAGCTGTAATATCACGGACTGTGGAGCCATATTGTCGAGCAGCAGCTTCAGAAATAAGTTCCGTCGGCATATGTTCAAGAAGATGGCTCGATGTCCACATAACCTCGATAGGAACGTCACATAGCTCGAGACGTTCGATGAAGAGTCTGCAAATATCCTGCCACCAAGGTCTATGCGACCAAGAATCATGGACCTGTCGTGTCCTGCTCATTTCCGCAAATAATGATCAACGAGAGATTGACAATCTGATTTAACTTGGATGCAGCACGTGGCCCTCTTGATCACCCGAAGAAGGGCGTATAGCTCTGTAGTGTAGGCAGAGAGTTCCCAATGCGAAACTCTGCCAGATTCGACAACTTGAAATCTTGCGTCGACAATTGCGTATGCACCGGTTGCCAGCCAGAAATAATTGCCCCATTGGACTGAACCGTCCGTCCAGAAATGCTCAATGCGTGTCACATCGAAGGAAGTAGACCCTTCACCGAGAACGGACATCTGCAATCGATGGAGGGCAACAGACCTCGGGTGTGTGCATAAGCCGAACACGGGAAAATTCACCCCAATTTCGTGATCAGGGGGCCTAGAGATAGCATAAGCAACCCCTGGGCACTCATGGACTAGATGAGCCCAGTTCTCCTTGGCACAAGCACGCAAACGGCACTTAGGGGATTCAGCCCGGAACAACCGGTCATTGGTGAGATTACACCCTGTTTGAACCGATTCGAATAAAAGCTGGCACGGAATCGGTGATTCAAGGTGCAATTTAGACTTCCGCAAAAGCAGTGACGATAGATCAGGGTCGAAGATGGCAGAACATCGGGAAAGGTCCCTGCGCTTCGAACTTGCGGCATCCGAATAACACTTTCGTTTCGCAAGATATTGCAACGGTTTGGCAATGTCTCGATGGTTCAAATCAAACAGAGACATATGTTGGGAGCCCCTAAATGAGACACAAAGTCCAGGTTGAAGGGTAAAGCCCAGGAGCCTCAGTGCTTCTGCGAGTTGCCACAACAGGGACTCCCGCGGCCAGGGATGTGCACTTTGAAGGTCGCGACAAGTCTGAATGGCACTCGGCCTTACGAAGTCGACAACCGCTGTATACGCTCGAGCAATCTGAGGTTCCGTCCGGTGAGGTTTAGCAACAACACCGAGAACCAACAATCGAGAGCGCCAATGTGGACGTCTCGCCCATAAGACGTTGACAATCTCATTTTGGGTTTTCCACAAAACTCTCTGAGGAATTTTGGTCATGACAGCACCGTATGTAAGTTGTGGAATAACCTTGGAACTGATGAGGTGTTTCTTGATCTCAACTCTCAACGGCAGAGCAGCAATACTTTTCAGGTCATCAATGACCTTGTCCCCCTTTTTGGTATCAAAGTCAAATGATTTGGTAGAGGAGATGTACATCTTGACTCCAAGAACGTCAATCACATCAGCGATGGGAATGTCCGGGAAGAGGGGTGCGATCATCCTCTTATGTGAGGGGTCGGAGACCCACAGTTGGCATTTCTTGGGGTTGGAGAGCTGACCCATGAGAGTATCCCACACCGCAGTCACGTCGAACGCTCTCTTCAACTCATGGACGTGGGAAAGGTGAGCCCACAAATATGCATCGTCGATGAATGCTTTGGCTGTAACCTGGGGAATGAGGTTGATGAAGATCGACCAAACCGACATGAAAAGGTTAACCGCGATCAAGGACAAAGAGCAACCCTGTGCGACCCCATTAGACGCGGTGGTTGCAACAGGGGATATCCATCCTCTCAAAGCAAGGTGCCTGCGCAAATTTGCATACATCTGGATGAAGAAGTGAACGATGCCCCGCGGCAGGCCGAAAGCCAACATAAGGACGCCCGCCATGGCGGGAATGAGGCGGTCGAAACACTTGGACTTATCCAATTTGAGGCCAACTAAGGGTGTGGAGTCCCGCTTGGCAATATCGAGGTCAAGTCGTAATTGGGTATGGACCGCCGTCATGGTACGGCCTTTAATTGCACCACAAAGGTTGGTGGGTAAGATGGATGGTTGCCACGATTGTAATTGGCGAAGTCGGAGACCTGAGTACGAAAGCAACAAGGCAGGGAGCAGAGTGATCAACCTCTTCTGCATAGGGGAGGGGTCCCCATTCTTATTTAATACCATTTGCTTAGCGATGGTCAAAACTTGAGGTAAGGGAGTGAGCTCCTTCTCAATTTGGTTAAACAAAAGTGCCACCGGCACAAAAGCAAACCATGGGAGTCGCTGAAGTTCAGCAGTTCTCCACCCATCAAGTCCAGGGGCTGCCTCGGGTTTTCGACGATGAATCTGGTCATACAGGTCCCGCGCAGTGATATCCGGGACATGAGGTTGATGGGACAAATGTGACACGTACGGCCAAATGACACGGAGGATGGTTTGGGGATTATCATGAAGAGCGTTGGCCCCAAAAACTTGGTCCCACTGGGAGTTGAATTCAGCAAGAGCATCAAGCGGCTGGTACAGGATATTCCCCTCCTTGTCGGTGATCAAATTCGGGGGTTCCTCGCATGACTTGTGCTTGAGATGTTGGAAGATGAACTTCCTGCTGCCTTTGGCTGATGCTTTGATTTTCTCTTTCCAAGCCTGAATCCTATTGTTCCTAGGTGGTGTCAATGGTGACACTGGAATGAACTCCTTCGAGCCAATGCAAGCAATTGGAGACATGTGCCAAAGTAGGCAGCTGGTTTGCCGGCCACACCCCACACCACCTCCATTTGGTCAGAACGACCCTAGCTTTGTGGATCGAACGAGTGAGTGTATCACCATCTGCAAAAGAACGAACAGGTCTGGTAAGGCGAAGAAAGATCTCGCTTAGAAGGTTGACAACAGCTGCAATCCTCTTAGTTTTCCTGGAGAGTGCATCGCCCCTGATGGTTTGACCTGGACAAATCCGTGTTGGCCGAAAAGAAGGGGCACACCCTCTCTGTTTTGGGCCATGTTCCCAAACAGCCCCGTTGGCAGTGAGAACTTGGACGAGATAACTATTGGTGATTTGCCACTTGTCGTCTACTGTTTGGGCCGAATTGAAGGCTGATTCACTGGAGGAGGTCCACAACGAACGGCATTTTCGTGGCATGGACACAGGGGATCTTCATTATCAGGAACTGAACAATATTCGAGATTGAAGGGTGCAGTCTTGACCAAAGTGTATCCAACTTGAGTGATGCGATCCCACTCAAAACATGCCCTAATCGGTCGGTGTTGGACCTTCAATTCAAGAACCTCGATGTGCCGTAAGGCCGAGAAGGCGATGTGATCACAAAGGATACCATCTATGGAGGTGCAGCGATCACCAGGGCCAGTGAATAACCCGTCATTAGAGTAAGTGAGGGGTCGGAAGAACTCCCCCTCCTGATTGACTTGGACCACCGGCTCGATCCACGAATGGTTGTTGACCGCAGCAGAAACACTGGCATAGTGCAGCGGATTAAGTTGGAAATCACCGCACACGATAATCGGCACCGGTCCATATTGGGCTGCACAACCCACGTGACCGGGGAGATGACCATTCTCCATGTGAACCTCCGGATATTTAGATGCCGCTGTCTTCGCGTAGATGGGAAAAACGAGCAATTGAACTCTCGGCGC